AGAGTCTCTTATGGTTTGGCTCCCTCCCTCTCTAACCTTTTTCTTCTTAAGGTTCTTGATTATACTCTAGATTAATTGGTTAGAAGCCCAAAAATTAGGAACTGCTCATTTGGCATTTTAGATAAAGCCTATAATATTTTAGAATAGTAACTACTTCATGCTATTTCAAACTGTTTCGCAAGTAATATCACAGTTGAAACTCACAGCAGAATCCCTGGAAAGCTTGTAGCTGCCATGGGGCAAAGGGATCCCTCCAGGCCACAGTGGCAGAGCCAGACCAATATCTAGCCTTTTGGGGTCCTCGCCTCATGCTTCTCCCACCGCTGCATGCTAAATGCAATCCACATTAGCTCCATCCTGGCCCGTGACCTAGTGATAGCCAGCCTGGTCCACATGTCCAGGGAGGCATCCTAACCTTTGCAGACAGAAAGCCTGAAAGTAGGATGAAGGGAGGGATAGAAGAATATGTCAAGTGTCTCCTGGCCAAAGGCCAGCTACTCAGCAGGGCGGTGGAGCCCGGCCACGTTGCTTTCTCTTTTTCCCAAATCCAGAAACCAGCCCAGGAACCTCCTTGCTGGTACTGATCCAAGTAGTGGGTGAGGTCAGACTTTGTAATCCACACGTACGTAGGAACACCAGGAATCGCTTTTACCCACCAGAACAAGGCTGGGAGCTGTGCTGTATTCTCTGCACGGATTCCCATGTCTCAGGGAAGATCGGCTCTCAGAAGGAGCCCCTTTCAGGGTAGCTGGGAGTCCTGGCATTTTCCTCTGTAAACATCACGGGCAGCTGGCCGGCTTGCTGTAAGCTTCTGCCTTCCAGCTGCTGTCTTGTCTCCTGTGAGCTGCTGAATGCAGAGCAGATTGGAACTTGGCGAGCAGTCCTTTTTCCGATCCCCTGTGAACTTCATGTGAAGGAAGATAAATACTCTGCCTACAATAAACAGTAGGAAGAGAGGCGGCAGCTTTAGAAAGCTCTGGCTGTGGCAGAGTCACGAGGGCAAGAAATGGTTTAGAAATGATACACATTTTCCCATCACATCATGGGAACTGATTAATTTTCATGCAAGATGGTAATATACTATTATAAGTATTTTTAGATTATCAGAAAAAGGATTACCGCTTTCCTGCCTAGCAGGGACTAAACAGCCATATAATACTGTTAGTTGTTATCACTTGCCGTTTACATAGCTCTTTACACCTTTTTTTTTTTTTTGTTAAGTTTATGTATTTATTTTTGATTGAGAGAGAGAGCAGGGGAGGGGCAGAGAGAGAGGGGGGCGGTGGGAGAGAGAGAGAGAATTCCAAGCAGGCTCCTGAGCTGTCAGCCCAGAGACCGAGGCGGGGCCCGGACTCCTGAACCTTGAGATCATGACCTGAGCCAAAATCGAATCAGGAGCTTAACAGACAGAGGTATGCAGACTCCCCCCTTTACACTTTCCAAAGAGCTTCATTCACAAACATCTTACCAGATCTTCAAAGAAACTTGCACAGAATTGGGCAGTGTAATTAGCCCCATCTCACAAATGAGGAATCTCTAGGTCGAGCAGTTTAAGAGCCTCACTAGGGTCACAAAGCGAAGCGGGGTAGAGCCCCGGCACCAATCACTAAATTCCCAGGATCGCGTTTCAGGTCATCTCTCATTTATTCACCCCCTGCCGTGGATCCATCCCTCTGCCAGTGCTTGCGATACAAAGACAGACTACTCTTAGGAAACGCCTAGTGGGGCGCCTGGGTGGCGCAGTCGGTTAAGTGTCCGACTTCAGCCAGGTCACGATCTCGCGGTCCGGGAGTTCGAGCCCCGTGTCAGGCTCTGGGCTGATGGCTCAGAGCCTGGAGCCTGTTTCCGATTCTGTGTCTCCCTCTCTCTCTGCCCCTCCCCCGTTCGTGCTCTGTCTCTCTCTGTCCCAAAAATAAATAAAAAACGTTGAAAAAAAATTGAAAAAAAAAAGAAACGCCTAGTCCAGCAGAGAAGCGGTGATGTAGGTCAGCAATACTGGCCGCTGCAAAGGGGCAGTATTTGCAAAGCGCTTTGCAAAGCGCAAAGGGGAAAGTGTTTAAGTCTGCCCCGTCTGGCAAGGTTCACAGAGGAGAAGACACTTGAGCTGTGTCTTGAGTGATGAGTAACAATGTGCCAGTCTCATGGCACGCGGGAGAGAGAGGGGAGAGGACATCCAAGCAGAGGGGACACCTGCACGAAGGCCCTGGGACATGCAACGTGGCGCATGTGGGACGCACACCTTGTCCTGTGTAGGGTGTGCAGGAGGGCGTGGGACGGAGTGAGGCCAAAGGGCCTGCAGTCAGAGGACGCCTACACCAAACTAAGGCGCTGCCCTGAAGGTGGTAGGAAGGAGCATTGGCAAATTCTGTGCTTGTAAGCATCTTCATGGAGCGTGCTACAAAGTGGGTCTGTACCCTGATCTCCCCCTGTAACAACGTCCCCCGTTCACTTTTTGTTCTAGCAATGCTGTGCTGCTTATATATATATAGCTCAGCAAACCTAGGCTGTGCCATGGCTCTGTGCCATTTCATGCATTATTGTCTCTGCCTTGGATGCTTTCATGCCACCCTCAGAAAATTGTTATTTCAGGTTGCCTGGGTGGCTCAGTCAGTTGAGCGTCCGTCTCATGATTTTGGCTCGATTCCAGGGTCGTGAGATCGAGCCCTGCATCGGCACTGAGTGTGGGGCCTGCTTGGGATTCTCTCTCTCTCTCTCTCTCTCTCTCTCTCTCTCTGCCTCCCCCTGCCCTCCGCCCCTCTCCCCTGCTCATACTCTCTCTCTCTCTATCTCTCTGAAATAAAAAATGTAAAGGGTGCCTGGGTGGCTCAGTCGGTTAAGCATCCAACTTCGGCTCAGGTCATGATCTCACGGTTCGTGAGTTCGAGCCCCACGTCGGGCTCTGTGCCGACAGCTCGGACCCTGGAGCCCGCTTCAAATTCTGCGTCTCCCTCTCTCTCTGCCCCTCGCCTGCTCACATTCTGTCTCTCTCTCAAAAATAAATAAACATTAAAACAATTTTATAAAATTAAAAAAAAAATTAATTTAAAAATTAAAAAAAAAAAATGTTATTTCTTCCTTGAAGACACAGTTCACACACCACCCCGGCCACCTACAAGTGTCCTTCCTTTGTCCCATAAAGTCTCCCTTCATTCCCCATCCGCTTTGAAGGAACAGTGCCTGCTGCTGAGCGGTATCTCAGTATTTGTTGACTAACTGAATGAATTAATGGGATTAAGGAATAAGTGAATGTATTTTATTAAAATTCTAAATACACACTCCACTTCCTGACGCTCTGTTGTCTTAGTCCATCCGGGCTGCTCCAACCAAACCCTGTAGATTGGTGGCTCAGGAACAGCAGGATTTCTTACTCACAGTCCTGGAGGCTGGACTCAGGGGCTGAGGAGTGTCCACTTCCTAGATCCTAGATGGCCGTGAGGGTTCAACCCTGACCTGATGGGCGTCTCAAAGGCCCCGCCTCCTAATGCCATCATGTTGGGGCTGAGGCCTCCGCGTCTGAATTATGAGGGAACACAGACATTGAGTCGATAGGGCTTACTAAAGAAAATCGGCCAGTGTTCAAGATGTTCCATAGAACAACATTCCTTGCAGTCATCTTAAAGAAGGAGTTGGTCGGCCGGTGTGCAATCGCTCCCTTTCTGTTACAGATCCTCACTAAGGATTCCGTGACCATTAGTGTGGATGGCGTGGTCTATTACCGCGTTCAGAACGCAACTCTGGCCGTGGCAAATATCACCAACGCCGACTCCGCAACCCGTCTTTTGGCACAAACGACTCTGAGGAACGTTCTGGGCACCAAGAACCTCTCTCAGATCCTGTCTGACAGGGAAGAAATTGCACACAACATGCAGGTGAGGCGTGTGCCGGGGCTGATACCCACCAGAAATCAAAAGATGAAGCAAAGGGTCATTGGTTGTTTGACAGCTTGTTACTCATTCCAACTGGGGGATCACTGGCCTGCCTTCTTCCCTTCGTAGAAAGGTTTTCTCAAACTTGATTTGGTGGAAGGGAATATTTTTCACACAGAAAGCTCATGGGTTAATAGCTCAGATGCATGCATCGTTTTTTTTTATTCCCTTCAGTGTAGTTTTGTTTTGTTTCCTGAGAATTAGTCATTAACCTTTTTCTTGAGCATAATAATCCAGAGGCCGTTCTGCAAGACAGTGCAGGTATTATTAAATTCTCGTGTGGGTCCCATGACTTCCCTTGGAACTCCTATGCTTTCCAGTCTTACTTGGGTAATAGATTACAAATTAAACCTGACTTGCTCAACAAAGATAAAGCACTCTAACCTGAGATCTTGTTACTCGTATCAGTGTCATGGTGTGTAGAATCTGTGACCTTACCTGATGTCCACAGCCACCATATGAGACAGGAAGTAGGATTTCATTCCACCCATGGTAAAGGGACCAAGTTGAAGCAGGAGGAAGTAATGTGGCTTACGTGGAGTCATATTAGATCAGGAGCCAGCTGGCCACCTGTTTCTATCAGTAAAGTTTTATTGGGATACAGCCACTCCCATTGGCTTAGGTATTACCCACAGCTGTTTTTGACCTACATCGGCACAGTTCACAGTTGCAACAGACACTGAAAGTAAACGATCACTGTCTGGCCCTTGTAGGAAAAGTTTGCCAACCTCTGCATGAGCTTCTTAGGAATAGAATCAGGATCAGCTCCCTGGGACCCAGCCCCCTAGCTCAGCCTTCCATCCAGCGCAGGAGAAGTAAGCTCTCTCCCAGCTCTCCCCCAGCGCCCTGTCTGCTCTAGACCCCAGTGCTCTACCGTAGGCCTCTGGGCTGGGCTGAGCATTCCTGGCTTGCCTTCTCTCTTCCTGACAGTGTACCCTGGATGACGCCACGGATGACTGGGGAATAAAGGTGGAGCGCGTGGAAATTAAGGACGTGAAGCTGCCTGTGCAGCTCCAGAGGGCGATGGCTGCAGAGGCGGAGGCATCTCGGGAGGCCCGAGCCAAGGTAACCTCCCTTTCCTTTTCTTTCCTTTTCTTTCCTTTTCTTCTCTTTTCTTTTCTTTTCTCTTTTTTTCTTTTCTTTTCCTTTGTTTTTCTCTTTTCTTCCTTTCTCTTTTTTTTTTCAGTTTGCTTTGCCTGTCGAGTTTTCTTTTTAAGGAAAGCATGGTTGTTATAAAAATGGAAATAATCTTAACGGGTTTAGCCAAGTTGAAAGCCTCCCTATCACTTCAAGCCACAAGCCCCCCCAAGGGGCCACCGCTCATGACAGCTTAGTATATACACCGGGGTTTTATTTGACTAGGGTGTTAGATTGCCGGCCTATTTTGCGTAAGCATGGTCACACCCACGTATCGTTCTGTTCCTTGATCCTTTCACTTAACATCATCCTGTGAGCCCGTCAGTGTGTACAGAGCCATGTCATTCTTCTGTGACTGCATGTCCCGCCCCCCCGCCCTGCCATGTCTCATACTTCATGCTCCAAGTCCCCCACTAAGGACAAAGGAACAGTTCTGGCTTAGAGCAAGTGGACAGTCCAGTCCATGTGCCTACCATTTGTTCCTTACCTGTCTTCTTTTTTGAAGTTTATTTACTTAGAGAGAGTGACAGTGCATGTGGGATAGGGGTAGAGAGAGAGGGAGAGAGAGAGAATCCCAAACAGCGTGGAACCCAACGCAGGGCTTGAACTCACGAACCGTGAGATCATGGCCTGAGCTAATCCTTGCCTATTTTTGTCTTCTCTTTCATTCTCTCTTTTCTCAGGACCTTCTTCCTTCTTACTGTTCCCTCTTCCTCTCTGTCCTCTTCTTTTTTTCACTCCTCTCATGTCTGCTTTTCCCCCTCCTTCTTGTCATCACCATCCCTGCCTGCTTTTTGAGCCCACATGGGTGCATGCCCCATAGGAGAAGTGTTGAGGAAATATCTATTAATCTAACCTAGGAAACAGGGTCTCTGGAGCTAATTCATAAGGACACAGGCATATCTCACCAAACCCAAGGATGGGAAGTAGAGTCAAGTCCCATCAGGAATAGAGCCAGGGACTGCAGTGTGGTCAAGACCAAAGGGAGCTAATCATTCCATCTCCTGGGCCTCATCTCACTGCTGACAGCTGGAGGGCAGAGTCAACTCTCAAGTTCACACACTTCCCTCAGCTGAACACTAAAGGGGACAGACCCGCCTTGATTCCAGATTCATAGCAGAGAGATTCTCTTTGGCCAAAGTTTGGTCAAAAGGGCAAATTCAGGGGGTGCCTGGGTGGCTCAGTCGGTTAAGCGTCTGACTTCAGCTCAGGTCATGATCTCACGGTTTGTGGGTTCGAGCCCCACGTCAGGCTCTGTGCTGATGGCTCAGAGCCTACTACTTCGGACTCTGTCTCTTTCTCTCTCTGCCCTCCTGGCGCTCTCTCTCTCTCTCTCTCAAAAATAAATAAACATTAAGAACACTTTTTTAAAAAAAAGGGCAAACTCAGATATTAAGTTCCACAGCGCTTTGCCTGTGAATGGGTGAAGGAAGAGGGCCAGTCTTCATCGGAGGGGTTGCTGTGGACTTGACAGATCTCCCAAGACACAAGGGGCAGACCAATCCATTGTTGTTGTTAGGAAATAGTAATAAGGGCACCTGGGTGGCTCAGTTGGGTAACCGTCCAACTTCAGCTCAGGTCACGATCTTACCGTTCATGAGTTTGAGCCCCACGTGGGGCCCCGTGCTGACAGCTCAGAGACTGGAGTCTGCTTTGGATTCTGTGGCTCCCTCTCTCTCTGCCCCTCCCCCCGCCTCAAAAATAAATAAACATAAAAAAAATTTTTTTTAAAGAAAGAAAATAGTAGTAGCTGGTGATAATTGACTAAGCACAGAGCCCTGCCCTTCTAGTAGGATGCCCTTTAAGCCACACATTGGGGACTATAATTTCTTAGCCAGCATCAAATAGAACAGCAGCTCCTTTGACACTATACCCAGAATTTTCTACTAACCAGAATTGTTAGCTTTTCCTAATGTGATAATTGATGCTCATGAGGGCAACCTGGTAATTCTGTGGAACCTCCAGTACTGCCATCACATTGAGAAGACTCAGTGGTATTTCTGGTAACATTAAGTACGCCCTACTGTAATCGAGCTGGTATTTTGAAAAACAGGAATCGCTTTTATCTAGATTACATCATTAACCAACAGCCCCATTCCAAGCCATACTGAAGAGACTACTTAGAATGTCAGGGCCTGAAGGGTCCTTAGAGATTATCTTCTGAAGCTGACAGATAACCTGGTCCAGAGGCTGCCCCTGCACCCTCCTATTCCCCTGCCGGGAAGCAAGCACAGCACTGTTTTTCCGCTGAGCTTAGGCTTCACCTCAGAACCCTTCTGTTGCCCTTCAGGTAACAGTCCTCAACTGCTTGGCCTTGGCCCTAAAAATGAAACTTATTTGCCATCCCACTATTCAGATGAAAAGATTGAGCCCAGAAAATTCATGTGATTTTCCTCAAGGTCACACGGTCGATTAGTGGCAGTGGAAATCAGAATTCCCCTCTGGCTCCTCTGGGCTTTCCATGATGGACTAAGCCCCTTGGGCAAGTGCTTTCACCAGTTAGGAAAGAGAAGTCCTGATAACAATGGGAAGAGATGAAGGAAGCCGGTTAGAATTCTGAATGACTGTGCTCCACCTGGATGAGACTGTGGGGATCGTCTGGAACAGTCTCGTGGACCTGGGCAGTATCTGTCTTTAAGATTAGGGTGAACACATCGAATCGCAAGGAGTCGATCCTTTCTGTAAAACACAGTAACCCTGCAACAACCATAAGGCTTATATATTCAAAATGGTACAGTCAGGTTCTCATGGAAAGTAGGGAGTCCATTTCTTCAACAAATAAATTGTGAAAGAAAAGGGTAAGAGAGCCTATAGATTAAGAGCCTTCAGAGAGAAATCCCTCTCTGAAGGAATTTCCATTACATAGCCATCAGGGAAATGCAAATTCAAATCACAGGCAGATGCCACACTAGACATCTACCAGGATGGCTAAAAAGAAAAGAGCCCAGTGTGGACGAGGGAAGAACTCATACTCCTGTTTTGTCAGTGAGACCACAGATTTGGTAACACCATTTTGGAAAACTGTCTGGTAGTGTGTATCCAACAGAAACGCACTTGTGTGTTTACCAAAACACACAAGGCGTGTACTAGAATGTTCACAGCAGCACTTTGTATTACCTCAACCTGGAAACTGCCCACATGTCCCTTGTGGTTGAATGCATAAAGTGTGCTTCGTTCACACGAAGGAACACCATGCCACGAAGAGAATGAACATGAAAGTGCTGGCAAATATGGTTTGAGAGAAAGGAGCCAGGCACAAAAGATTCTCCCACAAGCTTGACCGTGTGTTAGTCGAACCTCTTTTTCAATGTTTTAGACCAGCTCTTAACAACTTGAAATGTGATACCTTTTACACTTGGCGTCCATCCTGATTTCCTCGCTCATAACTCTCAGAAAAATGCCTGCCACGTGCTTTCGGGCGCACATTCCTGGGTCTCATCCTCTATTCACTGAGAAGGTGGAGTATAGGGATGCAGATCCCCTTTCTCTGCCCTTCGCGGGCCAGCCCGCCTGGGCTACAGAAGGAGACAACAGTACCAACCTCACAGACCTGAAAATGGCTGGTTGTCAAGGGACGGTCTGTAAACATGGAAGTGGGGATCGACATGGGGTTGCTGGGCATTGGCAGAAGCCCCACACCGCCACAGGCATCTTGCTTTGCCTTCTGAGGGCCGATTCATGGCATCTACGTGGCCTGTGTTCAGACCGAGCCGGTGGTTACTGCCTTCACATCTTGGGCAGCGTCCTCAGACCAGCTTTCCTGTTAACAGCCCGTGTGCCTAGTCTGGTGGGTCTGGCTTCTCGGCCAAGAGCTCGTATATTGACAGTAGTGGGAGATTAGACATCTCTGCAGCCGGTCCATCGCCAGACCAAAAACAAAGTGCCTAATTGGACCTCTGAGATGACGCGGAAAAAGCCACAGCCTGCCGTTCTCGGGCAGGAGCTTGTTTTGCATTCTGTACGTACAGGGTTTGCCTTGGAGCACACGGTTACGTGCATCTTTTTGAGGGCACCTGGAGTGCCCCCTCTCACAGACCTAGGTAGGACGTTCTGGGTATCTTGACAAACTAAGGTTTTTATCCTCTAAACTGAGTGCCTTCTCTCGGTGACACCATATCCTGTATCACCCGTCTCACCTAATGGCACCCCCCAGGCAACCGAAACCTAGAAACCCACGGCTCAGCCTCTGTTCCTCTTCCTCCCCGTACCCAGCCAGCCTCCAAACTGCTGACTCTCCTGAAAAGCACCGACCCCGGCCCATTTCCCCCTCCAACCCCGCATCCCCATTACCAGCCAGTCGCACCAGTCACTCTGAGGCCGTCCTGTTAGCAGCTCTCAGTGTCTCCTCTTCTCATCCATCCTCTGTCGTCTGTCCGTGTGTTTTCTCCCACTGGATCTGATGAGGTTCCTTGCTCAAAACTGTTCAGCAGCTTCCCTCTGCCTCCAGACTGCAGACGAAACACCCCAGCCTCTCCTCTGCCTCACACTGCACTCGGCCACTTAGATTTTTCTGGAATATACCAGTTTTTTAAAACCTTGGTACCTTGACGTGTGTGCTGCCTGAAGTATTCCTCTTCATCTGTGGCCAAACGACAAAGCTTTCATCCTGTCCTATTCAACTTCCATAATCCCATCAGCTCATGTTCTGCAAAGCCTGCTTTGCTGAGTGCTGGCCCTGTGCCTTGTACCTGTCTGTCTACATTTCTCACACTGGAATGAAGTGATCCGTTCCCATGTCTGTCTCCCCTGCTTGACCGGGAGCCAAAGGAGGCAAGGGGGTCCACTCTCTTCCTTAGCTACTGCACAGGGCTCGACCCCTAGGCGGCTCCCAGCATTTACTCTAGAAGTGAATGAAACTCCACTGGTCGTGAGACTATCGTGTTCAACTCGGATATTCATGGGAGTATTCTGAACCATGAATATTTTGAGATCCCTGTGAAAACAACCCAGTTGGAACTGCGCCGTTAAGCTTAGTGAGCATGGTATCTTCACTCCCTCTTCTAGGATTATGGAGGAAGAGTAACTCACCGCCTTGATTGGCTTCTGAATCCTTTATACATTAAGGCATAGCTGGATTCAAAAACCAGGTCTTGACTTCCCACATGCCTTTCCTATACGATAGCCTCCGTTTATACATTTCACACTTAATGTACCTTTCTGTCTTCCTCACAATGGCCCTAAAAGGCAGGTACTATCCCGTTTTAAGAGTAAGAAACCAGAGCTCAGAATGTTAAATAACCTCTCTGAGGACACTCAGCTGGTGAGGGTTAGGTTTGGAATTTGAGTACAAGCCTGTCCCACTCCAAAGCCCCTGCTTTTCTCCCCGACCCCAGTGATGTTCACACTTTTATGCCCATGTAACCTCAAGAGGAATTTAGACAAACTATATGTCCCATCACACGTTTTAAGTAGACATGTGACAATTTTCATTTGAATTTATATACTTGGCTAAGCATATAATCTGACATGTTTTAAATATTGACATTTTATTTTATTTTATTTTATTTTATTTTATTTTATTTTAAATGTTTATTTTTGAGAGAGAGATAGAAGGTGAGGGGCAGAGAGAGAGAGAGAGAGAGAGAGAGAATCCCAAGCAGGCTCTGCGCTGTCAGCAAGGAGCCCAACGTGGGGCTCAAACTAACGAATTGTGAGATCGTGACCTGAGCCGAAATCAAGAGTCAGATGCTTAACTGACTGGGGCACCTGGCTGGCTCGGTTGGAGGAACACGCAACTCCTGATCTTGGGGTCATGAGTTTGAGACCCAGGTTGGGTACAGAGATTACTAAAAAAATAAATAAACTTTAAAAAAATTAATTAATTAATTAAAACTTCACATCACTCATTTCAATGTATCCAGTGAAATTGAAACAACATAATGATTCCATCATCTGTTTAAAATACGTAAATAAGCTCTTTCAATAGGCATGTTTCATTGTCCCTTTTCTTTTCTCCTTGGACTTGTATTTCCACTCTGCCTCCTCATGGAGTCTTTTCCTAATACAATATATTTTGTCATGAATTACTTTATTACTCCTACCGCAACACATTTAGCATTGAAGTGGTTTTTTTTTTTAAGTTTATTTATTTTGAGAGAGAGAGTGAGCACGTTCAGGGGAGGGGTAGAGAGGGAGAGAGAGAATCCCCAGCAGGCCCCTTGCCGTCATCACAAAGCCCTTGATGGGGCTCAAGCCCACCAACCGTGAGATCATGACCTGAGCCGAAATCAAGAGTCGGACGCTTAACTGACTCAGCCACCCAGGCATCCCTAGTACTGAAGTTAAAATTGATATTTTAAACATTTCCTGTGACTACAAATAAGGCATTTAAATGTTTCAGAATTTCTCCCAAATAATTTTTTTCTTTCACTAGAAATGCTTATCTTAACAAGATAAAGAATTCCTGTGTTTGCAGCTGGCTGTCACGTATTGCCAGAATGAGACAAGATTAAACATCAGTTCTAGTGTTAACTTTTCATTTTTGTACCTCTAAGGACTGAGAACTTTTGTTTACATAAATAAGTAGGTGGAGATGAAAGTTGTGTTTAAAGTCATGCCATGCAGTCCTTCATACTGTTTCTGAATTACGTGTTAAAAATCATACAGTGATCTTTCATTTAAAAATATGTTTAATGGTCATCAGCTTTCAGTTCCATAAGGTCCTCTGTCCTTTCTTTAAAATCAAACAACTGGAAATTGAACGCCTGGGTGGCTCAGTCGGTTGAGTGACTGATTCTTGATTTTGGCTCAGGTCATGATCTCACAGTCTTGAGATCAAGCCCCGTGTTGGGCACTGGGCTGGGTGTAGAGCCTGCTTAAGATTCTCTCTCTCTCTCTCTCTCTCTCTCTCTCTCTCTCAATCAATAAATAACTGGAAATTCATGTGACTTGCAAAAGGATTTGTGTCCATTCACTAGTTCAACCCCTATTTTGAGTTGCCCCTCTGTTCGGTCCCCTGAAGCATGCAAGAAAAGCCACAGTAAAAGACGATGTCTCGATCTCAGGCACATAGTCAGGCAAATCAGACATAGGAAAAAGGACGTATGGAAATGGGGTAACCGGAAATGGATTTCCTTAAAACTATTCTGGCGCATTCCTGGAGAAGGCTTTGTGTGCACACCCTGGTTTGAAGACTGCCCCTTGACACCTGTATTTTCTCCAGTCTGACCACTCCCTCCTCCTGTTCCATAGGTCATTGCAGCCGAGGGAGAAATGAATGCATCCAGGGCTCTGAAAGAAGCCTCCATGGTCATCACTGAGTCTCCCGCGGCCCTTCAGCTGCGGTACCTCCAGACACTGACCACCATTGCTGCTGAGAAAAACTCCACGATCGTCTTCCCCCTGCCCATAGACATGTTGCAAGGCATCGTGGGGGCAAAGAAGTGAGCCACAGAGGCCAACGCAGAGACGCGCCCTTCCCTGCCAGGGTAGAGTGGGGACCAAATCAGCCTTTAACCTGTAAGGAGCAAGTAGGGCGGGACCTTGACTATTCCTCCTTCCTTTCCTTTTCCGTACGTTGACTGCGAGGTGCTTAGAATGTGTAGTGATCCTAGCCACAGATACAGATGAGGATTGTTAGCTTGTAAATACTGAGAAAGAGAAGGGATGTGGGGAGGGGGTTGGCAATTGGTGATCTGTAAGATCATTTCGATCATTTCTTAACTCTTTTAAAATATTTAAAGTTCATACGTTTAGATCATTAGGTAATAGGCTAAATCCCCCTTCTTTTGACTTTCCCTGGGTCATTCTGCAGCCAGACCAAAGGCAAGAAAACAGGACACCCTGGCTGGACAAATGCTTTGCAGAAAGCAGGGACCTTAGGCTACAACCAGCTCCTCTGGGCCATATGTGCCTTACCTCTGGGGAATCTTAAGGAAACGTTCCTACCATCCGTTTACTTTCTAAGCCCAGACCACATTTCAAAATAATCCTCACTTGAGAGTTGGCATTTTTGTGCCTATACCTGTCAACACTGGAGGAAATGGTCAAGGTCGGTGAAAAAGATGATCTTAACCCTTGAAAAGACTTCTAAACCTACTATCACAAAGATCCTTTAAGAATAATAAGAATAGTTCTCTCTTTTAAACTTCTTTTAGCCTCTTTATGACTCAGTGATTCCTCTGTGGTCTTTCAAACCAGCTAAAAACTTGTCACAAAAGTGCTTTTTCCTCACTTTTGCCTATTTTCATATATCAGGTTCTAAATAGTTCTGATTTTTAAATAAAATGTTCTCTAAGTTCTATACACAATTCTTTGTATACCCATTTGAATGGCTTAAGGACTAATCCTTTTTTCTAAAAAATAGGTAAAGCAATTCTCTTTTATTGTCTGCATGCTATTAACTATTGGACACTGTGAAATACCTTGGTTACCAGGCCCATTCATTAAATATTTTGAGGAATTCACAATATATTGGGCACATAATAACCAATGAGCTTGGGAACACACTGTCAGACGTAAGATATATAGATGGAGGGTTTTTGTTTTTTTTTTAATTTGCCGAGTCCTCCTTTTCTATCACGTGTGGTCAGTGCCCAGAGAGGAAGTGGGCAGCCCCTCCTACCCAGTTCCTTGTTCCACAATGGTAGGAAGCCTTTTGCAAATGCCTGTGAATTTTGCAAATGCCCGTGAGTCTGAACAACCTGGCATTCTTCCTGTTGGTCCGACAACCTGGCTGGTGACACTTAAACCACTTCCTCCTCGTGGCTCCGAGTTCACCTAGAGAGGTCTTGGGAATGGCAGCTTCCTTACCCAGAGCCACCCTTCATATTGGTCCTTAGCTGCATCCCTCTGTCTGTCCCAGACTATGAATGTCCCCTCCCCGATCGCCCATTTCCAAGCTTATTTTAGAAAACCTTGAACCGCGCATCCATGTTCTCAGCTGAGTTTATTACATGTATATGGAGCATTTTGACTTGGAACTCAAGTTACATTTCTATTTATAATTTTTTAACTAATGATTTTCTCTCTTTCGTGCGGTGACTCACCCTCGACCAGTGAGGACCAGGAAACAGCCCCATAACCTGGCTGAAAACCTCTTCTCAGGCTTAGAGTAACAGTGCTTTCTGCTCCTTTGAGTGTCCCTATTTCCAGATACCAGTCTTCGCCTCTCTGCCTTGTGGATTCATAGCCCAATAGGTTGGGATTAAATTGCTTGAGAGGGAGGAAGCATAAAAGGGGTCTAGGATGAGCTCTGGTGCAAGAGTGTTCTCCACGTGGCCTCCCTTTCCAATGCTGTACATAATAAAGCGTGCACTTTTACTCATTTTCTTTGGGTGAGAGTCTGTTTCTGCCTGGATTTAGTGTCTGTGGGTTTCATTTTTCAGAAATGGCACGTGATCCTCCGGTCCCGGGCTGGCTGCATTGGCTTCTCGGTGTGCTTTATGTGGGCCAAAAAATGCGGAGAGGTTAAAGTTGCCCAACTGCCGTCTTTCTTGCCTAGGCCCCTTCTGGAGCACCTGCCCATATATTTTCCCTGGGAGTTCGAGATCCATGGACACCCTGAATCCTTTGCTAGTTTAATCACCCTTTGCCCTAATCCAAGCAGGACAGGAACTCACTTCTGTCACCCCGTGGTCTGTTACAGCTCCAATGCCTTGCAGGCTGCCTGGCCCAAGGCACACAACAGGTACCTATTGACCAGCCCAAAGTCAGACACAGGATCCAAGCCCAGGCCGGCCTTTTCGTCACCTGTCATGGCGCCTCACGATGACTTCTATGTGGTAGACGACAAAATCCAAGGTCATGTTTTGGGGGGAGAAAGTTGTTAGGAGAAACTACGTGGTTGAACTTCGAGAGAAAAATATGAAGTCCCAGCAACTCTTGCCCCGGGCAACTTCCTTTTTCGGAGCACTGTAGAGTTAGGAGGCCACAGCCACCAATAAACTGAAATTGGCTAATAAACCACCTTGCGTGCCAGTAGAAGAAATGAAGAATTCAGGGGTAGGTCCCCTGCAATTTGACCTCCCACAGGTTTGCAGGAGGGGAGCTGGCTTGTCCAGACAGGACTCCGTCTGCCTTGAGGGAAGGCCCTTGGAAGCTCTAGGCTGTAAATGCTGCTTTTGTCCCAGGACTTTGCATCTGTCAAAGTGATTGCTTTGACTGCAAGTAACTCTTTGGGTAAGTGAGGTGGGAGTTACAGGATCCCGTCCAAATCTCTCAGCATGGCAGTTGAGGTGGGCCCGGCCTACCTCTCACGATGTGAGGCCTAGCACTCTCCACCTGCTCCCCCATGACCCCCTCTGTACTTGCTGCACACTCTGAGATGACTCCCTGCCCCTCCGGCCCCCATGTCTCACCTGGAAAATTCCTTCTCCTCTCCCCTCATCACCTCTGCAATGAATCACAATCTCTAGACGTAGGGCCCCTGGGGCCTAAAAAGCTCCCTGGGCAATCCGAGTGATCAGCAGCTTTGGAAATAGCAGTGTAAACACACATGCACACCCTTCCCAGCATCTACACCTTCACACTGGCTTCTGTTCTACAGTCCTATGCATGGGAGTCTCTTATGGTTGGAGATCAGGTTGGGGGAGGTGGTGCAGAACAAAAGCAGGGGCAACATGAGAAAAGACCAGAAGACGAGAGGGGAGGAAAGGGGGTCTGTCCCGCAGCAGTTCCTTGCCCCGGTTGGAACATCCATGGAGAAAAGGTTTAGGAGAAGATCATGGGAAAGGCTAAGAGGGACTTTGTGACGCCCTGAATATGAACAGAGATTCAGGGTCCCGGGGGCACAAAGCGGGGCACAGAGGAAGTCCCTCTCCCACAACTTTGGGAGCATTCAGGGGCACCTCTCGTGACGGTAAATGCAGGAGCAGATTTCTGCAAAGAGCTCGGGGCAGCAGAATGACTCAACGGAATACAGGGGAAGCCAGGGAGGTGTAGGCAGATTAGTTACAGGTTATGGCAGCTGTGAGGACGCACCTTGCCCAGACTTCTACTGCAGGGGAATATAAATGACTAAGGGCCCCAGCTGCTGGCTTTGAGTGCTGGTCCCCACAGGTGCACCAAAGCCTCACCTCCCGACGACTGAATGCAGTGGGGAGACAAGACACATTGTACCTGCTCCTGGGAGGCACACAGCGCCTTCACTGGCTGATTGGACTGTGGCTCAAAAACTCTTTGAATCAAAGAGCTGTTTGCGCCCCAGTGTTCACAGCAGCCTGGTTCACAATAGCCAAAAGGTGGAAACGACCTGAGTCCCCGCCACTGGATGAATGGTTAAGCAAAATGTGTATATGCACAATGGAGTATTATTCAGCCACAAAAAGGAAATTTTGATATTTGCTATAACATGTATGAATCTTGAGAAAACATTATGCTAAGTGAAATAAGCCCGACACAGAGGACAAATACTGTATGAGAAAAGGCAAATCCATAGAGACAGAAAGTCACATAAAGGTTACAAGGAGCAAAGGGGCCCCGGGTGGCTCAGTCGGTTAGGCGTCTGGCTCGTGCTTTCGGCTCAGGTCATGATCTCATGGTTCATGAGTTTGAGCTCCCATTGGGCTCTGCGCTGACAGCGCTGAGCCTGCTTGGGGTTCTCTCCCTCTTTGTCTCTCTGCCCCTCCCCTGCTGGCACTCTCTCTCTCTCTCAAAATAAATAAATGGTGCTGACTCCACAACACTGTAAATGTATGTAATGACACTGCATGCTGCTTAGAAATAGTCAAAATGATTATTATGTATCATTTACCATGATAAAAAATACACCAAAAACCAGAAAATACCTAGGAATAAATCTAACCAAAGAGGTGAAAAACCCACACACTGAAAACTATAGAAAGTTTATGAAAGAAATTGAGGAAGACACAAAGAAATGGAGAAAGATTCCATGCTCCTGGAGAGGAAGAACAAATATTGTTAAAATGTCGATACTACCCAAAGCAATCTATGTATTCAACGCAATCCCTATCAAAGTAACACCAGCATTCTTCACAGAGCTAGAACAAACAGTCCTAAAATTTGTATGGAACCAGAAAAGACCCCGAATAGCCAAAGAAATCTTGAAAAAGAAAACCAAAGCTGGAGGCATCACAATCCCAGACTTCAAGCTGTGTTACAAAGCTGTAATCATTAAGACAGTATGGTACTCGCACAAACACAGACACTCAGATCAATGGAACAGAATAGCGAACCCAGAAATGGACCCACAAATGGATGGCCAACTAATCTTTGACAAAGCAGGAAAGAATATCCAATGGAATAAAGACAGTCTCTTCAGCAAGTGGTGCTGGGAAAACTCAACAGCAACATGCAGAAGAATGAACCTGGACCACTTTCTTAGACCATACCCCAAAATAAACTCAAAATGGATGAAAGACCTCAACGTACGACAGGAAGCCATCAAAATCCTCAAGGAGAAAGCAGGCAAAAACCTCTGTGACCTTGGCCACAGCAACTTCTTACTCAACACGTCTCTGGAGGCAAGGGAAACCAAAGCAAAAATGAACTATTGGGACGTCAAGATAAAAAGCTTCTGCACAGCAAAAGAAACAATCGGCAAAACTAAAAGGTAACCGACAGAATGGGAGAAGATATCTGCAAATGACGTATTAGATAAAGGATTAGTATCCAAAATCTATAAAGAACTTATCAAACTCAACACCCAAAAACC